CATTGTCGTTTCCGTTCCAAACACTCTTTGTATTGCAATGTTACAATCGAACATTCTAAAGACTGTTTTCCATATAAAATTTAATTTATTAATACAAGTAATACAGTGAATTTTGTTACTTGGGAATTTATGAGGGTTCCGTAGACCTTGATTTAGACTTGTGGAATGCTTTAAAACCTCTATAAAACTTGTAATGTTACTTGGGTTCACTACAAATCGATATTGGAAGGGACCATCAACAGGACAAAAAATAATCAAACGCCAATTTGTCGAAACTTTTGTAACGTGTGTATATTTTAAGCATCATAATTGTAGAATAAAAGTGAGCAGGGTGTCGACTACCTGGAAAAAACCTGGAAAGTCATTGAATGTCAGGGAATTCTATTTATGATCTGGAAAGTCAGGGAATGTCAGGGAATTTTAGTGTAGTAGGGAAACAATTATGTTGATCACATTGCAAAAAATCATGTGTGGGACACATAAAAATTATCTTTGAAATTGTATCAGTGCATGACGTCAAAGTTTTTGGGAAGATCCCGGGCATCAGATCTACTCGCTGCGTTTATGGACGCCCTTACCGGTATCTCTTCGAACAAGCTGCTGCAAGTGTCCATGGATGGGCCCAATGTGAATTGAAGCTAGAGGTACAAAAAGGTGGCGAGAAGCTGATAGATCTGGGAAGCTGTGGGCTGTATATTTTGCATAATGCATTCAAGGATAGTGTTCGCAGTATCAGTTGGGATGTTGTCAAATATTTGCGTGGTATCTACAATATCTTCGAAGATGTACCAGCAAGACGAGCGTTTATCACGATGTATTCTGGATCTACCATATTCCCGTTAAAGTTTTGCGGTCACCAATGGTTGGAAAATAGTGCTGCTGTTCAGAGGGCAAATACGAAAATTTATTCAAGGCGTCCAGAAAGACAAAATCGAACCAACGTCAGCTTCCTACCAAGATGTAAAAAACTGTTTGAATGTCTCGAATGTCTTGACTAATAGTACGTTGATGGTGGTTTCTGTGTTGCAATTATTTGACAGCCGTTATAACATGTTATAACTGAACGTGGTATTAAGCTAGCTTTCTTCAAATCAGTTGCTGTCGAAGTTGAGCCATTTCAATGCGAATTCCTGTCGGATAACCCTATGGTGCCTTTTTTTACAACGCGATGTCTCAAATTGTTAGAGGCATTATGGAAAGGTTCATTAATATTGATCATCTGAACAATATTGCACACACACTTAGAAAAATTCGTGTAAATTTAGGTGCTCTGAGAGCGACATATACGAGCGTCAATTTTGACATAAATTTGAGTCATAACAGACGCGAAATATAGCTTAATCAAACGTAATTTTCGTCGAGTAACGAACTTTTCAGTCTCGCAGCACTTAAAATTACATGACATTTTTGTTTACGCCTCATCTTTTATGTCAAAGATGGATTCCATCACGTGTAAAATTAGCACATTTGATCAATATGATCGCAAAAAGGAACAATTAGACGTTTTTTGGCACAGGTTATTGGTCGGCGTATTCAATACTATTGTTGGTTGTGAAAATGATTTGCTGCTTATCGCGTTGCCAATACAGAGAGAGGTTTTTCGGTAAATGCAGAATATCTTTTTGAAAACATGAGGGAAGAGTCAAGGCCCAAGCGCAATGACAGCGAAACGGCAGTGGTAGCGGAAAAGCCCGATCTTAGTAGCCTATTTGTCGGATTGAAAACTAATTAGAATCAAATCGACTGCGGTTAGGCATCTTGATGTCATTTGTGTCAATTGTCAAACTCGCCGTTTCCGTTCCGCTTCCGTCCACATTGCGTCAGTCGTAGCGCGACGTCAGATCTCATGCAGGCGGGTTGTAAAGCTTACAAATTTTGAATGAACTTATCCAGCGAGTTTGAAAAATCGCATCCGCTTTCCATGTAGACAAGGATCGTCGTATGAAAGAAGGTCTCGATTCCGAGAGCTCAAGATGCTCAAAAAGAAGCCGAGAGTTTGCAGGAGAAAATTGTTCTGCTCAAATGATAAACATTTTTAAACGTAATCCGAAAATAAACACAACACTTGCAATTTCTCGTTGTAATGTGAACTCACTGAGAGAATAAAATTTTAATGATAATTAAACTTAAATTATTTTGCCATGTCTGCGGTTGTCATATGGAGTTCCAGAGAGTACGAAACTGACTAATGCATGAGCAGTTCGTTTGCCAAAGCAAGAATAATCACTGTTCTGCTATTTTACAATAATTTATATGTTAAGAGAAAGGATCGTCTACGGGTTGATTTCTATTTGGCTGTGAAATTATGACAGCCTAGTTGTGAGCAGTAGTTATTCATTATTATATTATAGTATGTATTTATAGCTCTAGGCCTATTCACATCCTTCGTAGGTAGTCGGTCATATGTTCTGTAAAAATTGTATTAGTATCAAGTTCTGTTGTACGTGTCATGAGTATGCTATTCTTGATATTTTCGAAAGCTTACCCTGCTGCGCATTTTAAACTAACCTTAATTTACACTACGGTATAACGAAGTTTTGATGACTGGAATTTTTCTGAAAACCGACTAGAAAAACAGAGAAAGTTAGGGAATTTTATTTTCGACTTTGAGTCGACACCCTCGTGAGTTAGTACGTTGTTTTGTAAGAAATCGTATCTTCATCCCGATAAGATGAAACGGATGAAAGATTTCCTCGATCATTTTACTCATCTCACCGACCGATTGGTACTGGATTTTCATCAGCAGTTTGGTAGAGGCATAGAGGTAGCTCTAAGACCAGAAGGTCCCGAAAAAACGTGCTCAACTTTTTGGCTCAGCTCTGGTACTCTCTTCGGTCCTCGAAACATTGGAAAATCCACGAATCCCTTATTTCATCTGTCAACTGTAAAAAAAACCAGTTTTTTTTTATTCGAAAGTACATGGAACTGTGATAAAAGATATAATTTAAGGTTGTGACATAAACATGAACCCGGCCGTAAATGTGTAAATCTGTGAAACTGATCCCAGAGCTTCGCAGATCTGGAACTGTGATATAAGAAAGAATTTTGGGCCGTCCTCTGGAAGTTCCTGAAAATCCGTAAAAGTTGCAAATCTATGAAACTGATCCTAGATCAGCAGTTTTTTTTTTCAAAAATATTAGGAGCTGTGATATAAGAATGCATTTTGGGCTGTGACATAAACATGGCCTGGATGGCTTTGGGCATCTGCCAATCAACGATCTTGTTTATACGAAATTCATCCACATTTGTGAACACAAAGTGTTCAGCATCAGCTAGATCGAAGTAGGCTGCGCTTGAAGACTGACGTGTGAATTTTTGCTGTAATGCTTGTAAAGTGTCGCGAAGCTTTTAAATCAATGTTGAACCGTGCATAGCAGAAACGCGTGTGAATTGTGTGCAAGATGAGTGAGATTCAAAGCTCTTGCCGGGTAGCATGATCAGCTGGCTTGTCGGGCACGAATCAGAGGGTTGCCAATATGAATGTTTCGTTCTATTCTGCTAACTTTCCCGAAATGTGCAGCCACTGGGGATCGTCAAAAGCCTGGAGTATGGGGATTTGAAAGGTTCATCAATTCAACATGACGGAAGAAGCAAACAAAAATAAGTTAGTTCATTTCGAGGAATCTATCATTTGATGTTCACCCAAGCAACCATAGGCACGTTATTTCGCTTTTTTGTTTATGTCATGACCCCAAATAATTTCTTATGTCACGTTCCACGTGTTTTCGAAAAAAAAACTGCGGAGCTCTAGGATCAGTTTTATGGATGGACCACTTTTACGAATGTTCTGGATCTTCCGGAGTACGGTCTTGTGGTCAACCGGGCTCGTGTTTATGTCATGACCCCAAATTCTTTCTTATAACTCAGTTTCAAGTATTTTCGAAAAAAAAACCGAAGTTTTAGGATCTAGGATTTTATAGATTGACCACTTTTACGGACGTTCAGGATCTCCTGGAGGACCACACCGTTGTCTCCAGGATTCATATGTAGGAACCATGATTTTATTCTGGCTAATTAGCAAAACCCATATACACACCTTTAAAAAAAACGTGAAACGACACTTCTCACTTTCAAAAAAAGTAGGCAACTCTATTTTCAATCTTTTAACGATCAAAATAATCTACAGACCCTAGGAATTCTAGAGGTACCACCATTTTTGAAATTCATCAAGAAATGGCTAAGTTATGTCATTGCAAACTTGCCGTTACACGCTTTTCGGATGCTTCGTAGTCGGCGTAAAGTTTTCTACCCACCGTATTCGGAGTGTTGAGGCGCTTCAAACCATCCATCAAGAAGACTTTTCCATAATTAACCGATAGCTACCTGTTGGGCATTATCCTTGGTAGCATGTCATCGGACATTGGAATACGTTGACATCTGCTGCACTTCGCTGCAGTAATAGATTCATTCAACTTTCATTATCGATTCATTTGAAAATGGAATCACTTATTTGAGAAACCGCATAAGTCCATTGTGATAAAAATGCGAACCGCGACGGTTTCTCGCATCCAACTATTCTGATATTAAAGGAACGGTGCATTAAGTACTAAAAGGTCGGTTTGGATAAACATGTGACTTGTGTGGTTTCTCAAATAAATGATTCAACTGGGAATTCACCCTATCAATTTCTAACCTGACAGGGCCAAAGACCCGTGAGACCGTTCCTACCGTTCATTAGAAAGAAAGCATCGTCGTCAGTGAGACGGAACGTTTCATTCTTTATCAGCAACAGTTGGCTGAATCACCCTTCTCGGCGTCTCAACAGGCAATTGTTAACGAACCACGCCCCCGCTCGTCAACAGGTGAATTATCGAATCTAATCACTAAAGCAACAATCGACGATCGGTTCGTTTTCCCCCTTCTCCCGTAGCCCCGTCGCGCATGCATTACGATTTCGGTTGACAAACTCGTGCAATTAGTGCGTTTTGTAATAAAAGCGTTGACCCGAATCGAAACAGATACTAAAAAATGTTTTATTCTGGAAACTAGTCGTTTATTTGTTCTTCAAACTCAAAAAGGAAAGCAGCTACACTTTCTATCGTTGCTACACTTACCACGCATAGCAAACGATTCACAGTGGAAAACGCACGGTTGGATAAGGATCTTGCTGAATCTGGGAGCACACAGCGCACGTTTGTTTCGCAGATGGGATCGTGACAGATCCAAGTTCTGTTCCGGGTGAAGAACCACTTGAAAAAGTAAATAATTAGTTTGATTTAAATTTGCATTCCTTACCATGGGCACTCACGTTCTTTGTTCTCACTCGCAATTAACTTTTCTTCTGGTTGCGGTGGTCTTCCTTGCGACAGAGCAAAAATGGCCGACAAAAGAAGCAACCACATGGCGACTGATTTCAATGAATGCATTGTTGATTCGTCTACTCGAAAGCGAATGCTGGAACTAAAGGGTGTCCACGATGAAATTGCCACACACAAAATTGATTCGCAAAATTCGAGTTTTCATCCGATTGCCATCAAATTTTCAGGGATTGAGAAATAACTATTAAACTTCATTTTACCATTTTACTCGTATTTTATTTATAGTCCATACGCAAATGCCCGCACCTTGGCCTTAACCCCGGCCATAAGATTCTGCACAACCTGTGAATCAACCGTTTTTTGCATGTAAACCCATACTTTCTTCAGTTCCTCGACTGTCTTCACTACCTTAGGTCGTTTAAGAAGGTGCTGCTTCATAATCGCCCAGTACTTCTCGATGGGGCGGAGCTCCGGAGTGTTGGGAGGGTTGAACATTTTCGGCACGAAATTGACCTTATTGTCCGCATACCACTTCAGCACGTCCTTGGAGTAGTGGCATGAGGCCAAATCCGGCCAGAAGATTGTTTAGACGTTGTGGGCCTTCAGGAGAGGAAGCAGCCGCTTCTGGAGGCACTCTTTTATGTACACCTGTCCGTTCATCGTGTCCTGGGTCACGAAAGGTGCACTCCGCTTCCCGCACGTGCAGATGGCTTGCCAAACCAGGAATTTCTTCGCAAATTTGGACATCTTCTGAGTGCGGACATGCTCCGGAACGCTGAACTTATCCTTGGCCGTGAAAAACAGGTTGCCGGGGATCTGTTTTAAGTCGGCCTTCACATATGTTTCGTCGTCCATGATGCAGCATTCAACTTTCGTCAGCATGTTTAGGTACAACTTCCTGGCACGGGTTTTGGCGGACTTGTTCTGCTTCTCGTCGCGATTAGGGGCCTTTTGTACCTTGAACGTTCGAAGCCCAGCCTTAGTTTTGGCCTTCTGGACAAAACTTCGGCTTAGGTGCAGCTTCTTAGCCACATCCCTAACGGAGGCGTTCGGATTTCGGTTGAAGGCCCCAACTACGCGGTTGTGATTTTTGGTGTTGTACGGAATACTTTTTCCTTCACTTCTGGGCTTCCGATCGGTGGTCAACCGTTCCTCGAACCGCTTAATCACTCGCGACACCGTGGAATTCGCGATTCCCAACGTTTTAGCGATGGAACGATGCGAGAGATCCTTGTTCTCGTGATGAATGCGCAAGATTTTATCACGCACGAGCTGTTCTTTCGACTCCATTTCCGCGAGTTTTGATCACAGGACTTTAAAACTTGCAGGATGTAAATAATGCACTATGAACTAAATCCACCCAAATTTTCATTAAATTCTACCCAACGGTTAAAAAGTTAGAGCAATTTCATAGTGTGGCAATTTCATCGTGGACACCCTTTATTGGACACTCGTTCTCTTTTATATCACTGGACTTCAGAGAGCAAACATATCGATCTATAATACTGTCACTATCGGGCAATAAGGAGACTTAGGGCAAACGAATGAGATTCACATGTCAAGGTAACTAAACAAGCCTTTCTTATCTATCCGTAAACTAACTTTCTTTCCAGTTTGATTAAATTACCAGTTGCAATCGAATCGATCAGATAATCAGACGACCTTTACCCCATCATTCCTTTCTTCCTAGGGGAATCCCACATACACAGACGGACTTCTGAAGAAAGAATACAGAGGTGTGTTGTTTTCTAACCTCACTGAGCAAACTGCCTTGTGGGGTTCCCAAACAGTTTCGAACCGTGGTTCGAAGGGATCACCGCCTTCAACTAAAGCCCTATAGTAAAAGGATGGAGGACTGTCACCACAAAATTTAAAAAAAAAACAACAAAGTTGTTCCAATCGAGCAAAGCAGAACAACTTTTGACACACGTCCATACTTTTACTTAGAGGAGAAACTGGATCGTAGTGAGCTGTGCTCGAAGAGAGACTTAGAAAATTTTCAGCCGTCAATTTTTGCTCCGTTTTTTCTAGACTTTTGTGAAGTTGTAATTAGTGTTCCTTCAACTATTTGCCACCCCAGAGTTCTTAAACCACTGATCATCTCGGAACCTAGCACCATTGGTTGTTCTTTGTGGCTCTTTGTGTTCCTTACAAGTGGGTCAGATTCTCCGTTTAGCAGCCTGAATCCATTCAGCCACAATTGTGCTTTCATCATCTGACTAATCAACTGATTGGCCATACAGGATTTTTGGTTCGCTTGTCCGATACTAAGAATAGGAAAACCTATTTTCGAGCCCAGTCAACCAACCCTTGAGTATGGAGATCACTGTAACAGGACATCGTTCATGGATCAATTTGGTGAGTCCGTTGCAATTTATTCTGGTGCTTATAATTGGCAGGATCCAATATTGGACAGTTTGATGTTTATAAAGTACTATCAGTTAAAACTGTGTTTTTGAGATTTGTCTATATATATTCTTTGGTGCTTCCTACATCGGTTGCAGGACAGTGTTACCGATTTATATTGGATAATCCAAAGCTATGTTGATCATTATAACATTAAATTTTGAATAACAACCCTAATAAACAAATACCATAAACGAACTGTATCTCGGATAGGTAAACCATCCCACATAGGGTTTGGATGATACCCCGAACACGTCGTTAAGCTCTCTTTTATGGTTATTTTTATTAGGGAAATGATAAGACAATCTTATTCAAATGTCGTAATAATACCTCTGACCAAGGAAGAATGATTTATATAGTTTTCATAAAAGTTGACGATACAAATACTAATGAGGAAAGGAATTCCGCATTTCCTTTTCCCAAGTCCTTTTCCTCTCCTTCCCTTCCCTTCTTCTCTTTTCAGAAAGCGAGTAATGGCGCTATAACCATATGCCATATAGGGCTAGGACAAGAGTTAGTGCTCAGGTCCCAACCGCTAGAAGAAAATGGTAGCGAGCAAGGGCGCTATAACCTAGGCGAATACAGCATTCCCTCCGTATAGGTTACGTCCGCACACCGCTCTCTGTTGTCCTTCGACTGAGGTCGGCTGGATCGATTGAGGGATGGCAGTGGGTTGGCGGTGCCGTCCACGCTTGTACGGAGGGAGGACTGTACGCTCGAACACAAGGGGTAAATACCTGTGTTCCATCCCAGGAGATCGGACAATCAAGGAGTGTACATTAACTTTCTTAGCTCTGTCACTCCCAACGATTTATATAGCCTATTTTCAAATCCTGCATACGGAGCGGTTGGTACGGTATGTCCCCGCTCTTTGATTACCTGTGGATTAAATGTTAACCACTGTCTATACTTATTAAGTAGACATGGTAAACATTCACTTCCACAAAAATTAACTTAACGCTACACAGTAGGCCTGGCCGCTTTATTGTTTGTTTCACATCCTTGATGTGCAGCAAGCATTAATAATGACAAGAAAAATGATAGATGTATCATTTTCCAGGATTCTTTCAAGTACTGGCTGTGTATGTGTAGACTAGACTAGACTAGACTAGACTAGACTAGACTAGACGTCCATACTTTTACTTAGAGGACTTTACCTTCAACGTGAGGCGAATTATGATTTCACTTGTCTTTGTCAACATTGACGTAACGTAAGGCCGCTATTCAGCGCTCACTGCATACATATTATCATTATTTACATGCAATTACAACAAATACAGTATAATACCCTGGGCTTTGGCAAAACCTTGAGGTAGTTTAATTAGGCTACCAGGTCCCAGGGCTGATCTGGATCTTTACCACATTGGAAAGATGCACACTAGTGTTGCCAGATCAGTGTTGATGCTTACCAAAAGTGCATTTGAACCCGCTTATAAAAGCATATTAACAGATTAATCATCATCGTACATTGTCTATTGCTCTGTACTAATAATAAATGATTAAGCACAGCATTTGATATTTTAGTAGGAATGCTGGATTTAGTCACAGTAGAAATCAGCTACGCTTTTTTTTCAATAAATCCTTTAAGTAGGTATTTCAAGAATGTCGGGTGAGACAAATCTAATTGTATTTAATCTTATTTTTGTGTAGTAGGATATTCAATTGAACCGCTCCGGGATATTATGATACTGTGTGATCTTTCAAGCATTTTTCCTAAATTTTGGGATACAAGGGTTTAAAAATTATGAAATCATAAAACAAGATTTACGGGTATTGCAAAACATGGTCCTCTGTACGTTTACTTTCCAACTTTTACTAATACTACTGTTACTCCGACTATCCCCTACTTGAAACATTATTCCTCCCTATCCGGCATCTTATAGTTGGTTCAGACTACAGAGTTATAACATGTTATAGCGCTATCTTGATGGTGGTTTCTGTGTTGCAATTATTTGACAACCGTTATAACATGTTATAACTGCTCAGTCTGGCCAGCGCTTTAAGCAGGATTCAATTGATCCCTGTGATTATTATTCTGTGGTACCAAATGTTTACCTCTACCCTTGTGCTGTATGGACAGTCATGTTTTACTGGAGACCTGGCGTTATGACCCCCTTCTGTGCTTGAAAAAGAAAATGAAAATGAAAATTACAACAAATACAGTATAATTACAATTAATACCATTATTGATCGTCATTTGATATAACGTGCAAGTTAAGAAAAAAAATATAAAAATAACCTTCTACGGATCTACGGCATTAGATTTGTTTTGACAGACATTAGCTTGAACTTGCGTTGGAGTTATCCTCAAATTACATTTCTATGAACCTTGGAGTGGAAGTTCTGTGGATTTACTCTGAAACTAATTTGCAGTTCGAAGTCTGTCTTGCGACAGATTAGTAAGCCGAAAGCAAATGTGTATTCGGCTGGTGATCTCTTTTGGTAGCCCTGCAGAGAGCATCTATTTTCCAATGTCGGGATTTTGTAAAGTTTTGGGGTTTTTTGCGACTTATGGATCTCCCACACGGGACCTCAGATAGCCTGTAGTCAGTAAAGGCACGGTATCACCAAACTGGAGGCGTCCCGGTCCGGTAGAGGAAATATTTCGGGATGGACATTTTCTCGACTTCCCGGGCATAGAGTATCATTGTGCTTGCCACCAGAGTCTGTTTTTTTTTTTATCATTTACCATCCCACGCAAGAA